TTACTGCAGAAAACCAAGTTATTCTCCATATTGAAAAATGGTTCTAAGTCTTTGTGGCGTTTACGAAAAACACATACCGAAACATCGTCTTCTAACAAGTTCCACTGCTGCAGTCTTGATCCAAGTAACTCTGCCTTACATTTTGGAAGTTCTAAATCTCTTACAAGATCATTTAATTCTGCCTGTGTTATTTTGTGCGGTTGGTGGCATGACTTGCTCGGTATAAAATCAGGATCTCTTGACGTTGATGGCATATCTTCTTCCTGACGAATCACTCGATCGCCATGATCTGATTCGTTTTCTGATTCGCAAGTGTAGGATTCTGGGGGTTTTGGAATAAGATTTTCGTCACTGTGAGGCACAGGTCTCATCGCAGATGGTATGTTTGGGTAGTTAATAACCGATTTTTTTCTTGGACATACCTGTGGCTTGTCCAACACAAGGTACCATGCAAAAGTAACAATCATTAATATGATTTGTAGGCTCTCTCCAAACTATTGGGACAGCAACGCGCAGAGACCGTTTTTTGCCATTTAACCAGCTCCTCAGACTTGAAGCACATGTATTACAGCAGATGTGGGGTGCCCACTGTTTGTGTTGATCACCTAGTTTACAACCGAAATAAAGCTGATATGCCTTTGTTATTAGTGGAGTAATAGACCGTCTCTGAGACGCAAAAGTCACATCACCGCACACGTAACAAAACTGATCTGGATTGTTTACACACTTTCGAGATATCTTGCATGAACGCTGTCAGCCAACTGAGGAAAAAATGGCTAATATAAAACAATATAATGTACACGTATGTATAACGTAACACAATCATGCCGATTACATCATCTTTCCTTGCCGAATATAAAAATGTAGCACGTGCATTCCTGTGAATTACAGTATATTAACACTGTCACAGCAGGAACACATATAATTACCGTATCTCTAAAACTTGAACTAATATTGAAAAAATAAGTTTCATTCCGGTTTTAGCACATTAAAAATAGTAATATTTTGTTGATTTTATTTAGGATATTTTTTGGCTGTTGATCAGTGTTATTTATCAAGTATAACGTAAATGCATCTTGATTTCCTTATTAAATTTGCAACGTGTACATTCCATATTAGATGTTTATCTGTGAATACCCCTGAACATTTGAAATTATCAGCTGATTGTTTTTGCAGTTATTCAAAGTTTTAATTTGGGGAAGATCTGGTGTCCCACAAAAATGTAATAAAAGTTTTGTTGAAAATGACTGTTAAAATCCTTTTCGTGAATACTTGTAACCTTTTGAAAATCTAATACAATTTTGTTCTTTAAAGAAGCCATAACGCCTGCAAAACTAATAATTTCTCCATGTTTTCTTTTTTTACTTGAAAAGATCATTAATATACAAGTTAAACAGCAATGGCCCAAATACGGTTCCTTGTAGAACTCCGCATCTATAGTCAACGCCAAACAAAGTGGCGTGCACGTCATCAAGGTGGGTGTGTTGAAAAATTTACATTGTTGCCAAACTTTTTGTAAAATAATAAAATTTATTATTTACATATCTAGGTTTATAAGCAATATTAACCTCAAATGAGAACAAAAATAATAGTATAATAAAATTATAGATCTGTACTTGCATAATCATTAAGTATGACAATTATTGATCAGATGACACTATGAAACTACCATATTTAATTGATAGCTTAAAGGTACTGAATAAAAATCCAAATGGGGTCCTCCAAATTTTATGCATGGTATTTATTTTACAGAATTCATACAGAAAAATGCATTCTAAAATTAGGTAAGCTACTGGTTGTAAGCTTTTTCTGTACAATAAAGTTAGTCGGAATTTCTTTCTTCAGCGCTGTCTAAATCTGAATCTTCATCACTCTCAAAGTTGATTATTAAAGGTTCGATGTCTGGTCGTTCAAAAATTCGTTCTCTTTCATACCATTTAAAAATTTCTTGCTCAGTATGTCGAACACTATTTTTCCACATGTCTGGGGTAACCGTTTGTAGAGCCTCGTTCCACATATCCAAACAGTCTTTTTCACTGTTACCATCTCTACCAATATGTCTGTTATAGTAACCTTTTGCTATGCCCCAAATTAACTCAATAGGGTTAAATATACAATGGTAAGGAGGCAGACGAAGAACTTTGTGCCCATGTTGTTCCGCCAATTCATCAATCACGTATATTTTAGGTGGTTTGTTTCTAAAAAAGCAGTTATTTTAAGAATAGGAATAAACAAAGAAATATAAACTGTCGACCAAAATATATATAATTAAGAATCATTATGTACCGAGCAACAATACTCAATAGCTCTGTTTTAAACATTGTGTTTAAAAATGGTATGTTTTGATTTGTCAACCAGTCTTGGATATTTTTTTTTGTCCATGCATTGTTGGGCACTTTGTTCAATATCATGCTGTGATAAGGGGCGTTATCCAGTATAATCATAGATGGACTCTCCAATTTTTCTAATAACTGATGTTGAAACCATTTCAAAAAATTGTCCTGGTTCATCTCTCCATGGTAATCGCTCAATTTTGTTTTCGAAGAAAATATCGCTTCACTACCCTCAATAAACCCATTTTCATTTCCAGCATGTAATATAATGTATCTAAAATATATTAGTTTTAAATTTTATAGTGCAAATTGTGTAAAAGTACATACCTTTTACCATCTGTTTTAATAGCTTTCACGCTTTTTTGGTTTCCATTTTGCCAACAGCGACCTATGGTCCCATTTTGAAATATCCAAGTTTCATCGAGGAAGACAAACTGGTATAAGGCCTCAACCTTGGCTTGATTGTATTGCCTTAGAAATTCCACCCTTTTCAAAGCTATACTTGGTAGTTCCATGAGCCCTCGTCGCGGATTGTCCTTAAGCCACTTAAATCCAAGATCTCTAAGCAACCGCCTTAAAGACGTGGCACTGCCATCAAATAATGCCCTATCTCTTAATCGAGACCATAAAGTTTGTATCGTAACTTGTTTTTCTGAAACCATGTGTAATATGACATTATAATTTAGTTAACAAATTAATGCAAATTTCTGATAAGGTATTATAATAAGATCTTACTTTTGTGATACATATTATAGATCACTTCTCGAATGGCACTTGTATCCAATGTCGCTGTGTTGGTTACACGTTTAATATAACTCCGCTTTTTCTTGGGCGATTCTAAATTTGCATCACTTTTCACACCCTCGGAAATACGACTAACTGTCCTTAAACTAATTTTAAAGCAGCAGCAACACGCTACAAAAAATGAAATAAAATTTCACTATTATTAATATACATTACATATAATTATTAGTAACCTACCTCTTGAACAGCATTTAAAGGCAACAAAGGCCCGTTGTTGTCCCTTTCTTGCTCAAAGTAGTGCATTAACGAGGCCACGAGTTCCTTACACCGACTATTTAACTGTTTGGGCATCTTTATATACCAAAATTGCCTTTATCTACTCGTAAAATGAATAATTTTGTTTTGAAACAAACAGTTGTTGATTTACAGTATGCGGGGCCAAAGGATTTATAAAGATTTGAAATGCCACAAATTGATTCAGTGTCAAAATTAATACAAATGTCAGTTCCCAGTTTAAATAAGTTTCAAGGTAACAATGTGTCAACGCTGCGAAATCGGTTTTAGTGCGTTTACATGTCGATAAGTGATTGGAGCGTTTGCAAAACATTTTATTTCGTATAATGCGTCTAAATTTATCAGAAAGCAACTTATGTGATATTTTAATAACAATGTTTATATGACTATTAACCATAATAAGAGAGTAATGACCATTTTACAATTTATATATCACATTAATATGAAACTGCAATAGAGCAATTGTTTGTGATAGAAACCTAGGCATTAGGTCGGGGAATTTTTATCGTGATGACGTGCACGCCACTTTGTTTGGCGTTGACTATAACTGCCATATTTTCACTTATTGTACTGTTAATGTTCACACATTGTTTCCCGTTTTCCAAATAAATTTTCATGAGTTGACAATGACATGAAATCCAAAATTTTCAAAGGTTTCTAATAATTTTTGATGCGAAATGCTATGGAATGCTCTGGTTGTTGACTGAATAAGTGCACCTAAGTTCACTTTGCTTCCTGGATTCCATATTGCTGTCCAGATATCATCAATACAATCTGAAAAGCATTTTTTCGAATATTTTTGGAAATTGTCTATCTCCAGATTTTAATACATGTTTTATTATTGCCTTTTTAATTGTTTAATGTTCCTCTTTTCCATGCAGGTGTTTATTTATAATTTATTTAGAACATTGGTACTAATACGAGGGATGTCTTTTAAGTTGGGCATATGGAAATAAAACAACACGGTAGGTAGTTTTAAATGACTTTATTGTTTTTCGAAGTATTCTCCAAGAAGATTAATACACATCTGCATGCACCCAAACAGCCGACTGTCGTTTATTTTCTGGTTCATAACAGTAAATCCACGATTCATCACCACTAACAATGCTGGACACATTTTTTGAGTTTCCGGAAGCGTTTTTTGACACCAATTAACCCTGGCTGCTTTCTGCTCTTCAGTCAACAGGTGGGGTATCCAACGAGAAACTAATTTTCTTACTCCTAATTCTTCATGTAAAATTTTTTGAATTGCGGTCTTTGCGATCTTCAAGGATGCCTTAATCTCGCGATATGTCACATGTCTATCTTCAATGATGAGTTTCTAATGACTTGGTGACAGTTAAAAATTCACTGTAGTGAGAACACTGCACGTATTGTTGTGAAACTTTCAATTTAAGTTTACTAAAGAGTGAGGTTAAGATTCAGTACTGACGTTCGATCCGCGTGGCCTACTATGTTTCTATATGCAAAACATCCCTTGTATGGTATGATACGGCGCACTGGTTTAGCGTCCATACACTGATGTTGGTATAGATTCAATGTAACGCTAACTCCTGACCTTGTGAGAAGAGTTGCATTTCGGCGAACAAAAAACAGCTTTCCATATATACGTTTATTATAAACGGTACTGTTTATTTCTAGAATTATTCTTTACACTTTTAATTTTCCTATTTAATTTCGTAACCTTAGGCTTCTCCAATATTCCCTTGCGAAGCCCTGCGTTGTTGTAATAATTCTCTGGTTTTCTGATGACGATCTTTCGAGTATTACTACGAAATGTACCAGCTGTCGACAGAGGACGTTGTATTTCGTTCTGCGTCTTCATCTTCAAGAACCGTTCTCTTTCCTCCAACAATGCAGTAGTCAAACGCTGGTTCAGCACCGGATCTCCGTTAGCGTACGTCAACCAAGATCTATTTGACCTGATCGCTGACAGTAGAGCTTCGTCGTCCAAATACCTGAAACACAACAAGAAAGAAGTAATTAATATTACTTGTAAAATGCAATACACAAATATAAATAGAATAAATAGACATCGTAGACACTTACCGAAGTATGAGGCACCAAATCTCCGTTGGTAGGACAGGCAAGTACCAATAATGACAGGTCCTGTCGATATGGCCCAATTAATACCTGACTCTGCTTGTTCAAGTGTGAAATTGACGGATACAACTTACGTGGCCCTATCTGATACGATGACGTCATCCATTCGTGACATAATATACTAAGTGACATATAAATCCGAACACCCAGTTTAAATGGTTTTATTTTAATAAAAGTTGGTGAATGTATTTATCATACTGTAAATAACAAGTGAAAAATTTTCAGCCTTATCAGTTGGACATTCCGGTTTTTATACTGTTTTTTTTTAATTCACTAACGCTCTAAAAATGAATATTTCAGCCGCAGTAAAGAATCAACGTTGGCGGATTTTGGTTCTTGACATCCTTACGATCGGTTACGATGCCTAGAGTACGGAGACCTGTACGATTTCGCCAACTTAGTGAGTTTGATAGGGGCCGTATAGTGGGACTTCGGGAAGCTGGACTTTCTTCTCGGGCAATTGCAGTTAGAGTGCAAAGAAGTGTAGACACTGTGGTTAGGTGTTGTCAGGCATGGCTTCGAGAAGGCCGTACGCAAAGAGCAAGGAGCACTGGACGCCGCCGTAGAACAAACAGACCGTTGAAGATCGTCGCCTAAGATTATTGGCCTTAAGGGACCGTTTCTCCACTACCAGGTCCATTGCAAATTAATGGTTTGCAGAACACGGAAGACCTATTGGCATGCGAAGTGTTTACCGACGAATGAGAAGTTTTGGCTTGTTTTCATACCGGCCACACTGGGTCCTCCCTTTAACTCGAGAACACCGACATAATCGCCTTGAGTGGTGCAGACAACGGTCACTCTGGGATCAGGAATGGAACAGTATTGTCTTTAGTGACGGGTCTCGATTTTATTTAGGCATGCACGATGGTCGTGCCAGGGTTAGAAGGCGACGTGGTGAAAGGAGGAATCCACAGTTTTTTGTTGAAAGACATGTTCATCACACTGTTGGAGTTATGGTTGGGGTGCCTATAGCTTATGGTTCCAGGTCACCTTAATCTTCATCAGAGGTAACATGAACGCGCAGCGTTATATCCACGAAGTTCTAGAAGCACTTCGAGAGGAGTTGGTGGTTGCCTGGAATGAGATACCACAGGAGGACATTGACCACCTGATCAGAAGCATGCCTAGGCGCGTTGGAGAATGCGTAGCACATCAGGGTGCATCCACACATTATTAAAGGTCAAAGGGCTTTAAAGCAGTGCAATCATTTTGAAATTTTTATCATTTACTTATTATGCTTCATTAAGTACTTATACAAAGTTTTATTAAATAAAACCATTTAAACTGGGTGTTCGGATTTATATGTCACTTAGTATACAATTATTATTTGTTTGACTTGATCCCTTCAATTTCTCTGTTACACATGTTCGTATCTACATTTTTCTCAGAGGGTCTAGCTTGTGGTGGACTTGGATCCAGTTTTTTGTTGGATCATGACGTGGCACACAACAATATTACCATCGCATGTTGAGCTTCTTCAGCGCAAGGTGAAGATACGGCGTTTTCCATAATTTATATTCAAACTAATAGCTAATTTGCATCTTTACCATTATGCTTTTTTAGAATTTTGCAACGACTTAACTCATCAACGTCCTTTCAGAAAACATCGTAAACAAATCCGCTTTAGTGGAAGGTGATTACTAGTTGAAGCTTTTGCAATTATTTATATAAATACCCCGTTTTAGCATATTACTTTCAACGCCATTCGATGTTTTTAATAAACCTCGTTTTTGTCAACATCTGGCTATAGAAAGATTATTTACTCGCGTGGTTGATGTTATCTTCTATCTACCATCCAGATAAGAGACCATCGTTTTCGTGTAGGTTATTTCACGGAAACTAGCAAATATCAACCAACGTAGTCAGACTCGGGTAGACATAGGCGTCTATCAAGGGTATACGGAATATTTGAATAATATCACATCTGAAACACTGTGGTGATCTCGCTGATCTTCATGTGCTGTTGGCCGCCAAAGAAACCACGGATGCAAAAAGTAAAAGTTCACTGACATACACACAAAATAACCACCACCAAGAGAACTTTGTACCGGTATCAAGTAAGGTTACTTTCTCGCAGAAATCTAATTGAGTGAATGAATCTTCAAGTTTTTTTTGTTTTTTTTTATATCGAACAGCCGCGCATGCAGAAGCCTAAATGCGTAAACACCGCGGCTGCTATGATGATCCCAAAGAAATTTTGTTAATACGATTTTTGACTGCCTAAGGTTAGTAGAACTGGGAAAAGCTTCCTCCCGTAGTTTGTTCCACAATCTAGACACCCTCGGGACAAGGAGCGGTCGTATCGGCCAGTTCTGGATGTACAAGTTTGACACGGTTAGGAGGGGACGGCCGAAGTCAGGCGGGTCTGTCTGGCAGGCACATCGCGCGGCGGCATCATGGAAGAGAGCTCTGAGGAGCAAAGCCCGTTGGTGTAGCGATAGAAAAGAGCTAGATCGCCGATGGCCCGCCGGTGCGAAAGAGTCCCGAGACTGTCTGTTAGAGAAGAGTCATCGATCAGTCGGAACCGCCCTCCTCTGGACAGCATCGAGCATGGACAATGTAGTCGGGGCGGCAGCACCCAAATGTGTGAGCAATACTCGAGGCTAGGCCTTATCTGGGCCTTGTATAGAGTGAGAAGGTCATGCGGAGAAAAGTACTTCTTAGCCCTAAACAAATAGCCTAGCTTTTTCCCAGCAGCTGCAGCTATTGAAGAGATGTGTTCGTGCCAGATCAGGTCCTCGGTGATCTGGACTCCGACCAGCCGAAATGAATGGCTCTTTGGTAGAACTCGACCGTCCATCGAAACTGTATGAGCGCTAGGACGCTTTTTGTTCGTCAAAGTACCGTACTGTGTTTTGGAAGCATTGAACTGTACAAGATTGTTGCGTCCCCAAGCAGTGATAGCCTCCAGGTCTCTTGTCAGAGAAGAAGTCGTCGCTAGTCTTCTTTTTCCAGCTCAGCGGCAGAGATCGGCTTGTCACTCTGAATTCCTGCATGTAGAGTGCTGTCATCAGCGAAGCTGTGGATTGGGTTGATTGTGCAGGAAAGGAGGGTCATTGATATGTAAGAGAAACAGTGTTGAGCCAAGACCGATCCCTGGGGAACACCCGCGTTGACGTTGTGGGATGAAGAGGAGAATCCGTCAATTACGACGGATATCTTGCGGCCAGAGATAAAGTCAGCCACCCATCTGCAAAGCTTTCTGGAGGCCGTAGATGGAAGTTTGCTCAAGAGGGCAGCGTGCCACAGCTGATCGAACGCTTTCGTGATGTCAAGAGCAACGACATGAGCCTCACCATGAGACTGGATGAGTTTACTCCACAGTTGCGTGACGTAAGCTAGGAGGTCCCTGTGGATCGTTGGTGCCGGAACCGTACTACCTGTCGCTAATCAAGCTGTGACGTTCGAGGTAGTCCAGAAGCTCGCGATTTATGCACCTCTCCATCACTTTACTGATAACAGAAAGCAGAGCTATGGGCCTGTAGTTGTAAGGGTCGGTTTTAGATCCTTTTTTGGATGAGCTGTACATGAGCAAATTTCCAGTTTTCTGGGAAGGTGCCGGATTCATAAGATATCTGGAAGAGACGCGAAAGAACTGGAGCAAGCTCAGCTGCACATCTCTTCAGTACAATGGCAGGAATCAAGTCCGGACCAGAAGCTTTGTTGATGTCGAGCGACAAGAGCACTCGTCTTACGGTCTTATGCCTGAATGTTACCCCTCCCGCATAGTGTGGGGAAACCTTTGAATTGACGGCACTTGGGCGTTGGTGGGGACGTCCATGGTGGAGTTGGCAGCAAAGATCTTGGCTAGCACTTTCCGCCTTGGCCTTTGAGTCGAATACAATAGTTCCATCCTGACACGTAAGTGGTGGAAGGCTACTGTGTGAGAAGTTCTTTTCAATCTGCTTGGCCAGCGTCCAGAAGACCGACTGTCATTGCGCTGCGACATTACCCTGTGCCTAACTTTTATATCATGCTGGGTTTTGGCATTGCGAACCGCTTCGTTATATTTGTTTCTGGACTCGACGTCGGCTTGTCTGTTCTCTACAGTGGGGTTTTGTAAGTAGGTTCTGTGGGCCTTGATCTTCTGCTGGCGAGCAGTTTCACACGATTTGTTGAACCAGCCGTTGGACCCTGGTTCAGGAACTTTCACTGTGTGAGGGATGTATTCCTCCACTCCGACGTGGATAATTTCGGTTATTGAAGAACAGACAGTCGACGCATCCGCGTCAGTGAAACAGACATCTCTCCAAGGAAAGCTAGAGAAGAAGTCTCTGAGCCCCTCCCAGTCGCAGTGTTTCGTAATGCCAAGTTTTGCGGCCTGTGCGAGTTTCTGCGGCCACAGCGGCTTCTTGACCGAAACCTAACCTCCACAACAACCGTGATCTGAGTTACCCAGGGGGGACAGGACGGCAGTGCTGTAAGGGTCAGAAAGGAGATCCAGCAGGCTACTGGCGTGTGACGAGACGCGGGGGAAAAAAGTAGGGCCTCGTCACCAGCTGGGTCAGCCCTTGAGTAAGAGCGAACGCTTCGACTGCACGACCTGCTGCATCGGTCTTATTTGAGCCCAACCAAAGCTCATTATGGGCATTGAAATCACCGAGAGAACTACCTCTGAAGCGGGGTGATTGATGTTCAGGAAGTCGATCTGGACGGCGAGGTATTCGAGTAGGTCATCCCAGTTATGGTTCGAGGGAGAGGGATAAAGGCAGCAAATAAATTTGGGTGATGTTTTGGAGTTGAGGCGAAGCCACAGAATGTCCTTCCGGTCTGACTCCAAAGAAAGATCCCTGGAGCAGGAAAGACTGCTGCGGACAAAAGCCACAACTCCCCCGTTCTTTCTCAGATTGGAGTGCACCTCGTAGTTTGGGGAAGTTGAGATGGTTAATCGGTGCAGCCTCTGAGATTTTTGTCTCCGCCAAGAAAAGCACGGCGGGAACGATTGGATTGCAGGTAGTGATGAACAGCATCAATGTTGCTGGTTGATCCCGCAATGTTCGAAAAACAAATTTTATCTCGATGTTGTTCCCTCGAGCTCACCTCCACCCGGACATTCCGAGAGTGGAGTGAGTTAGAGACATTCCGGCCACCATAAGGAGCCAGTGCGTATGCAGCTTAAGCGGGCCCTTATGCACCTCTACATTCCTTAGATCACAAACCTCGCCCGTTTAGCGAAACAACTCTCTATACTTGACTCACTGTTTTGTTATTCTATGGTACAGTTCTTGTTCATATCGTGTAAGCTTTCTTATGTTACTGTTTCTTTCTGACTTGCTATGTTTGCAAATAGTATAATTTCATGA